CCGCGCTAGGAGGAGACTCTATGGTGAGGAGAACCGGACTTCCGGTTGTTTCCAGAATTGAACGGGGTGGGGGGGAGGGCTTGCAGTTAGGATTTTTGTGGGTCTTTTGTGTAAGGTTGCCAACCCCTGATCCAAGAGAAGCATGCAAAACTAGCTAAGTCCAGGTGCAAACTCCATAAGCGTGTTTCATGCACAGCCAAACCAAAAGGGGCATGGAGACATCCCATCCCTCGTTGTCCCCCACTCCTCTCTTCCCCCCCCCCTCACCCCCCCCAATATTCATCCCGACGCCTGCCTGGCTCGAAGTGGACATTCTCTCCACAGAGATTGTAGGGCCGGCGATACAATCCAGTTCCTCTTCCCGGGAACGTCCAGCAACCTTCAGCACAGCCGCGACCCCGCCCGGAAGGCCGTTCTTCCCGGATCCCCTCTCCGCCACATCGGGACAGCTGCTTGCCCTCACCGGATCTCGGATTTCAGTCCCGAGGTTCAAGGCCTGTGGGGCAGCCCAGCCCGGTTGGCTTTTGTTGGTGCCCGGAAAACTCTCCCATCGTTCGACGTTGAAAAGATCATGTACGCCAACGTGGTCCTTCTTGAGAGACGTTCTTGGCGCCAAGAGAGACGTTTCGGAGTTGCTCTGCCGGGTGTAACCCATCGCCCTCATTCCATCCTCCTTGAAAAAAGGAGCTCTGGGGCGGGAAAGACCCCTCTCTTCCGGCGGGGCCGGCCTCTTTGAAAGCCTGTTCAGACCCGAAGGCAAGTCTCCCCTGTTGAGGGTCTCCTTCCAAGGTCCTTCTGGCTCCAGGGGTTGTGGAGTTCCTGCCCCATCCCCACAAATCCCTAGCAACTCGGGCTCCGAAGAAGAGACACGGGATTTCTCGGGAGGGGCTTTGCTGGGTCCATCTGAGCTTGGGCGAGGGGCAGAAGCTTTACCAAGGGGGGGCTTGGTCCGAGGTCCGGCAAGGTGACGACGCAAAGCATTGGAAGGAGGTTCTGGGATCGCGGCTGCGGCTGCTGCCAAACCGCTGCTTTTCTCATCAATGCGTAGGATCTCCAACTCCACAGGGACCTCGGGACTCGGGTCAGACCCGTCGTGTTTGGCCCTGGGGGGCTTGGAGGCCCGTGGGGGAACCGTATGGGGTGGCCCAAAGTGAGGAGATCCAGAAGACAGCGGTAGGGAAGGCTCAGAGGCCAGAGATATGGTGGAACTGGTCTGAAAGAGAAAAGAAAGGGGAGGAGAAGGAACAGAGGGGGGGAAACAAAACAAAGGAAGATGGGAGAAAAAGATGGAAAACAGGATTGAAGGAAGAAGGAAGAGAAGAAGAGGAGAAAAAAGCAAAATACCGGCAGAAAAATAAAGAGCGCCCTGCATTAAACTCACTCGAGTTAATTAAAGGCAAAGGAGGAAAAAGGACATAGAAGAACTAATAATTCCTGATAGCAGCTTAGTTTGCAAAACAGGTCTCCTCCTTCTTATGGACTAGAGATCAAGGATCGCTCCAGCTTGGCAACTTTAAGATTGGAGGAGGAGGAGGAGGAGGAGGAGGAGGAGGAGGAGGAGGAGGAGGAGGAGGAGGGGGAGGAGGAGGAGGAGGAGGAGGAGGAGGAGGAGGAGGAGGAGGAGGAGGAGAAAAAGGAGAAGGGCAAGAAAAAGAGAAGGAGGAAGAGGAGAAGGAGAAAGAGGAAGAGAAGGAGGAGGAGGAGAAAAAGAAAAAGGAGAAGGGCAAGAGGAGGAGGAGGAGGGCAAGAAGAAGAGAAGGAGGAAGAGGAGGAGGAGAAAGAGGAAGAGAAGGAGGAGAGAAAGAAAAAGGAGAAGGGCAAGAGGAGGAGGAGGAGGAGGAGGAAGAGGAGGAGGAGGAGGAGGAGGAAGAGGAGGAGGAGGAGCATGGGATTTGCGCTTTTCAATCCCCCGTTCTCAAAGTTGAGTTCCGAAAGAGCGGCCAACCGCAGAATCGGGGCCAAGGCTCAGCTAAGATTTGAGTCTTTCTTTGAAGTCACCTTTGGACTGCAAACCAGCCAGGCACAAGATTTACCCATTTCCATTGGATAAATGAATCCCACCCCTCAAAGCGAGCCTGGGCAAAGAACACAGAGCTGCACATCCATTCCGGCGGCTTCCGCTTTGTGGGCCAACGGTCAGCCGCGGACCAAGGGCCCAATAGTTCAGCCGGTGGTTAAGATCAAAAGGCTCTTCGCCCGATCAATGTGTGAGGCAGATTTTCCTCCTCCATTACCCCACAAACCCCACTCCCTTCTAGCACTGACGATGAAACGTCCGCAAGGAAATAGCCAAGCTCAAAGAGCACAAGCTCGAAAAAAATCCCAATTCTTCCTCCTCCTCCTCCCTCCTCTTCTAGTACTGAAGAGGTTACCTAGTTGGTCATGAAACGTCTGCAAGAAAACTATCAAGCTCAGAGAGCACTAAGGATTCCAGTCGTCGTTGTCGTCCTCCTCCTCCTCCTCCTCCTCCTCCTCCCCACAAACCCCACTCCC